AAAACAGCTTAAATTAGTTAAACGCATGCTGAACTGTAGATGAAATGGACGAACAAGCCTAAATTATCAGAAGAAAGCAGATGGAGCAGACATTTGTGGAATTAGGTTTAAATAAGCAGAAATTAGCATAAAATTAGGAAATCAGCTAAAAAAGCTAAAATTAGCAGTAAATAGATAAACATCTAAAAAGTAGCCAAAAAGGCAGACATAAGCTTAACCTATGAGAAGGAAATGGAAAGAGCTGAAATGAGCTAAAACAATGTGGAATTAGCTGAAGAAGCTAAAATTAGCATAAACAGCTAACAAGTAGCTGAAATAGCAAAAAAAAAGCTGAAAGTAGCAGAAAAAGTTGAAATTATCATTAAAAAGTTAATTAGGCTGAAAGTGGCAGAAATTACCAAGAAAAATTAACTTTATCTGAAAACACCTGAAATTAGCTAAAAAAAAAAAAAGCTAAAAATATATCTGAAAAGTTAGAACTAGCTTAAATTAGCAGAAAAAGACAGAAAGGACAGGTTTTGCAGAATTTGGCTGAAAGAGGCAGATATGAACACAAAAACTTTAAACTGTCTGAATAAAGCAAAAAATAATAATTAATTTAAAAAAAAACAGCTGAAAAGCAGCTAAAAAGACAGAAAGAAGTTTAATTATTGGAAAGAAGTGGAGGTAAAACAGTTTTGCTGAATTAAGCTTAAAGAAGTTGAAATGAGTGCAAAAAATGTGGAATTAGCTGAAAAAGCATAAATTAGCATAAAAACAGCTATATAGTAGCTGAAAAAGCTGAAACTAAATAGTTCACAAAGCTAAAGTTGCTCCAACAACAAAAGTCATAGCAGGATTGTCCTGAAAGAGCTGAATGTTTTATGATTTGTTGAAATAGCTTAAAATATTGTGGAACGAAAAAAATGCCGAAAATGTACGGAAGAAAAATGGATCACATTAGAGTGAAAAATTAGACTTTTACGCAAATCCTTAAAAAAAAATAAAAATTGCCAAATAACATAATAAAAAGCAACTTTTATAGTTTGTTTTTACGCATAGTTGTAAAGTAATTGATGGTGTCGTGAGACAAAAAAATCTCTGGTTTTATCGGAGACCATTTTTTTCTCACTGCTTAAAATCCTGCGTGTCAGGACGCTAAATTGAGTGTCTACGATTATTTCCTTCATTTGTCTTTGCCTTGACCCTAAAAGAATAAAGATGACAAAGCAGGATTGGAAGACACATTTTTCAAGCAACAAGTTGAAATAAAAACTATCATCTAAATTATTTTTATGCAGGACAAGCATTCAATGGGCTACTCAATGATTTTTTTTTAAACACCAGTGTGGATATAAAACTAAACTCAGCGCTGCAATCACAGCCAGAAGGAAGCCACACATGCTCCAGTGTTTACATGCAGCCCCTTGAGCAAAGCAGTTCATTATTGATGATAAGCACAATAAAAATGATAAATGACAACAGCTGTTGTGCTGAAACACCATCCTGATAATTGTGAACAACCCTTGTTTATTGTCTCTAGTAATTAATGACTTCTCAGTACAAATAAGTTGTTCTGCAGCACAGAAACGTCTGGATTTTATGTGTTCTACTTCTGTTTATTGCTGTTTATTCGTTATTACATATCCAGAATATGGGTTGATGTAAAGCTGGGGTAAAAGGTAGTTTTTGTTTTGCTTTTATGTCGCCAAAGTACATTTATTAGGATGTCAGTTTCTTTGTGTGAGTAAGCGACAGAGCATTGATGCTTTTAATAATATTTACAAAGCCCACTGGGGACCACCTAGTCGGACTGTTTATAGTGGGTCATGCTTACACACCTCCACATAGAGACCCTGAAGAATGGACGACACAGAGTTGTCTTGTGAGATTAGCTCTTATGACATGATCTGGCTACAGTCTTACACAAGCAATTATTAAATCAGTGCCAGGCATGTGACAGTGTGATAGCCGTGATCTCTTTTTAAAACTAGCCCACCCTCTCAGCACAAACATTTGAAAACCCAAACGTCTTACTCTATCAACTCTTAAAGAGAGAAGCAATGAAAGGCCTTGCATTCCTCGCCAACGTTCATGCCAGAGTTTTAAACTGAGATCAGCTTATCTAGAAACGTTACTGTTGGGGCCATTTTGGTTCAGTCTTTAAAATAACGTTACGCGCCTTCGCACACAATATTGCAAAGTCTTGCGCAATCTGTTACGCCTTGAGGTAGGTTATAGGAAGGACACTCGGCTACTATCACACTGTTTTAATTGGTGATATGTGACTTATTTGTGCTGCTGATTAGCCATGCTGCTGATCTCATGCTGTTGTATTCATTCATACCCATCTGCTCACCACAGACTCATGTTCGGGCTGCTGTTTAATATACTGTTTTACGTTTGTTTAGCGTATATCCTTATATACTGTTTCTTTTTATACTTTATATTTTTGCTGTTTTTGGTTGTACCTGGGACCTTGAGTACACAATTTCGTTCCACCTCATGCACCACATGTGATGCGAATGACAATAAACTTGAACTTGAATTTCAGCTCACTATCTGTACCCGGCGTAAAAATAAATGCCAAGTCTTTGTGCGACTTAGTTCGCTGTGGTGACCCCTGAAGAATGGAGCAGCCGGAAAAAAAAAAAAAAACATCTATAAAACTGAACTTTTTCTTAGGTTGATTCACTGCGGCAGCCATCTTGAACAGTGTTTACTACAATAGGCGATCGGTTGAAGATGTGCAACCAATTATTGCTTTCTGAAAGTTTCAACAAAGTCTTTTCCACATTTTTACAACCTCGATCCAAAAGGAGACAGTTCGACACACAATGGAGTCACATTGAAAATAGATGAGGACAACGCAACTTCTGGATGCTGACCACAGAAATAGACACCTGTCAATCAAAAGTGGTCCTATAGGCTGAGAGGAGTTCAGTCAAAGTTTGGGATACTGGATGAAGGTAAAATAAATTAGTTCATCTCACAGCCAGTCACAAAGTGTGACCATATCGAGCTCCAAACACATCTTCTCAGTGTGTGGCAGAGCATGTCACTCACATCCTCCTTACCAATACACAGAATCAGTTCAGTCGCTGCCAGAAACGCCAGCTCACCTGAAGCCAGGTAAAATCAGATCCCTGCTGAGCTCCTCTCAAGAGGAGGGTCGTGAGGAAGAGCTGGCTAACGCACACTGACCTTTTCCGGACGGATCATCGACGTGGGTCAAAGCTTCGTCACGGCGTCACGCTGAACACCACGTGATTCATCAGTTTGTCTTTCTAGAAAGGGATCATCTTTGTTGATTAACGCAAAGCAACTCAGTCTTTGCATGTGATGCACTGATTAAACTACTGCTGTATCATACTGTTGATTTTTTTTCCTTGTGTTTAGCATTTTAATTTGTTTATAGCACCAATAAAACTGGCCTTCTCCGCTCATTTTACTCTGCAGTATTTGTTGGGTCTGAAGCTCAAACACCTCGTCGGTTCACCTCCAAAGGGCTCGTTTCTGCACTCTTCAGACCACCATTGCTATAACACTCACACAAACATGTTCCATCACAGCAACAGTTCAACGAAAAATCTGCAGAAGATTTTTTTTTTTTTTTAGATAGAATATTCAGAATTTGTTGGAATGTTATAACCAAACTTGTATTTTTACATTTTCAGTACCCTTCAAATTAGATCTGAAGTATACAAACGTGTAAAGATTTAATACACCACACTCATTTAACTGGACAAAAAGTGGAAACTTATAGCAGTCATTAATCTTTAGTTTCTTTTTGCATTCACCTTCTGTTCATTTTGGTCTCTTCTAGTTTATTAAACGCCTCACAGATAGATATAATACAAGGAAGATGTTCCGCTAAACAGTAATAATAAAGATAGAGGGGATGCAATCAGGATGTCTGTGGCCAATCATTGGTTACTAAGGATGATAACTATAGGACAACACTAGTCACCCATTAACTCTCATTATTTACAGATGGTCAAATAAAGCCAATTATTTCCTGGTCTACTGGGCTCAGCTTTGCAGGGTGGTGGGAGTTGGTAGAAACTAAAAGTTAGAAAAGCAGTATGACCAAGACTTTTAGCTTTGCTCATATTGTTCACAACACATTATTATTTCCCAGTTTTTGAAATGAATGGTATTCAGTTATGGCATTAATTATTCTGAATTATAAATGACTAGAGGTAAGGGGTGTAGTTTGTGATCAACAGAAAGATGTTTTAGAAAATGACGTGGAAAAAATCCAAAAGGTCTCTGTGTTACAAATTGTCACAGACTGGTATTTTACACTGTCTTTTTTTTTTCTTGTTGTAATGAACAGTGATGTATAATCCAAGAGTTATAGGAAATTGGACAGTAAAGAAACCATTCAATGAGCTATTAAGAGTAAAAAGCACAACTTTTAGAACAAAATGTAAAGTGTGGAGACAGAGCTATAAACACTGTCATGTTCTGTGTTTGTCAGTGCTAAACTAACTAAAAACAGTGTTTGCTGTCAAAGTCGACCAAATAACAATAAATGATGATTAAATCAAAGATTTGCTAACACAAAGTCATTTTGCCTTCAGAGAACTATGTCTGTGAATGTATGAAACCGTCTCACGTGGATCTAATCCCGAAACTATAAAAAGACCATTCCATTATGTTAAACCACACCAGGCTAACGAGATTTGTCCTGAACAACCAACTGACTGGGTTTGGTATCGTCTTTATCAAGTCAAGTCAATTTACCAAACACTAAACTTGTCCAAATATCACACCAACAAAGAAGAGAAGCTCAGAATGAAGCTATATTCTATCACCTAGAAAAGGAAGACAATCCAAACATGTGCAATTAGACCAAAGTGAAGCATCACAATGGACCAGCCATGAACATCTGCACATCCAGTGGTTTGTACTTGAGTGTTTCATTCCAGCTGTGAAAGCCTTCACACACAACAGTTAGAGGACATATTTAGTCTTACCGGCTGGCGGCGTTAGAGTTCCCGTGTTTGAAAGGATATGGGTTACAGACCATGCGAAGACACCAGTTGCGTGGCCTCGTTGTTTGCTTAAGGCAAAAGAAAGCCACGGGAGTCAGGGCGGGGTACGGCTGCTGCTCCTCGTCCTCAGAGACGCAGTCCGGGTCACGGATGGGAGCTGTGATTCGAACTCCCAGCGTTGGTCCAACTTCCACCTCCAGCTCCGGCTCCTTCTCTTCCTGAACTTCAGCGCTCCACTCAGCTCCTTCTCCTGGACGACTACAGCCCCTCTTTCCCTTCTCCACCACCACCTCCTGGTCCTCCTTCTTTTCCTTCTTCCCCTCGCCCTGGTCTCCTCCAGGGTCAGCATCATGACCCGGGGGCTCACTTTTTACAGGAAGCCTCACGTCGTCCTGCACCTCCCCCTGCTCCTGGCACTCATCGTACTGAAAGCGCACTCTCCCCTCGCCATCAGTCATGATAGGGCATCAGGCAGAGCCACTCTGAGGGGGGGTCAGAGGAGGAGGTGGGGAGGGATGGACAGCAGACAGGTGGGGGATGGATTATGTGTAAAGAAACAAGGGAAGGGTGAAATACAGATCAGTTTAGCCATAAAAAATATTTTGTCAGCAATCAGTTTTCATTTAGAGTCCTTTTTCTTAAAATGCGCAAATTATTCATTGAAATGTGAATTTTGATCAAAAACAGTGAGCTATGATGTGACAAACGTACAGTTATGAAGACAATGTTCTAAAAAAAAATTCCCTACTATAAATTCCCCCATAAACAAGAACAGTAGTGAGAAAACCCAGCCCGCTCTGGAGCTCTGCGGCTCCGACATACTTTACAGAACAAACATCGTTCAAGGCTTAATGGGGTCGCAGAAATGTGAACCCAACCGGACTGAACTGGCATTTTGATATCCGTACTGGTTTTTACACAAACACGCTGTAAATTTGACCATTTCCAGAAAGTTTTCGATGAATTGTTCAACTGACACTAGGGTTTGAAATCTCTCAATGTTAGCATATTTCACAAACTCTATTTAATGTCCACATGTACATGAAGTACATTTAGCACATGTACAAGTTACACAATGGTACTTTAGTCTTCTGCTGTAGGACGTATTCTTTTCTCCTAAATCCCATCAGCAAAAAGCACTCAAGCTTCCATCCATCCATCCATCCATCTTCTTCTTTTCAGGTCATGGGGGTCCACTGGTGCCCATGTCCAGCAGTCACTGTGCAAGAAACGGGGGACACCCTGGACAGGTCTCAGTCCATCATGGGGCACATTCACTCTCTCACTCACACCTAGGGACAATGCAGAGTTACAATAAGCCTAACATGCATGTTTTGGTCTGGAAGAAACCGGAGTACCTGGAGTAAACCCATGCATGCACGGAGAGAACATGCAAACTCCACCCAGAGAGACCCCCGTCTGGATTTGATCCAGCGACCTGCTTGCTGAGAGGAAACAGTTCTATCAACTGATCCACCCACCCACACTGCCATAGGTTTCAATTATTAAACTGGAAATAAAGGTAACGGCTCATTTAAACTTGTCATATCCTCTACAATAAAACATTTGAGAATTGAAAACATTCAATGTGGGACCATTAGTCTTCCATCGCTCACAGGTTTGAAAGAATTTTAAAGATGCGACTTGTAGATTTTGTGCAGTGACTTTTAGTATAAGGTTTACTTTTTATTCTGTTTCTGTCTGTCGTTTTTAGAAAGTGCCATCAGGAAGTGACAGGCACGAGTGTGCAGTTACCATGGTGACCTTAATGAGCCACTGGCCGCTGCTTTAACATGTTTTATTTTCATCTTGATTCTCTTTACGCTTCTTATACGAATTTACCTTATATATCAATTTTTTCATTGCATAAAATAGATTATTATTGGAATAAATTTGATGCTGGAGTTGTGGGCACACGTTTTAAAATCCCCAGTACATTTCTGATGCACGTATAGTTAAAAGACGGACTTGGCAAACGCCAAATAGTTTTTAAACGCTTCATCTCAGCTGTTTGGTGCAATATGAGGCCATGAGTGTGTCATGCCACAGATTTCTCATGTAATAATGTGGAAATGGGGATTTTCATTGCATGTCTTCCTGTTGCTATGTGATGGAACAGATGGACCACTCTGTCTCTTTGCTCTGCTGAAGGTTTGTAGCCCATCATTCAGTGGTGCAGGGTATATGCGCCAAAAAAGAGGAAAGAAAGCCATTTATGCCACACTAATCCTGATTATTATATTAAATGGAATAACATGGAAAAGGAAGAGACATTAGTCATGATAATCCAGCGCTCTTGGGAGTTTTAATGGTTTTTTGTCAAGCACATGAGAGAAAAGCGCATTATTTGTGAGAGCTCATGAAGAGTTTTTAATTATTATTATAAAAGAAGGAAATATTAAATACAATTTGACATGAACAGTAACTAAAAAGTTGCGTTTTTATGTTGTGGCAAATTTTTAAAAAAGTGCAGGAGGGAACGGGAGCGCTCCTCTTTGTGTGGCTTAAAGAAAGTGGATCTGTTGGTTTGAAACGTCGCATCTCAAGCAAACATAGAAACTTGTCAGTTCTTTTTTTAAATACCTTATTGAGACGGAATCGGGAGTTCCCATAAGCATGATCCGTGACTTCCCGTCGCGCACGCAGCCTTTCTCAGCAGCGCGGAGCTTCTCCTCCTCTCTCTGTGTTCCGCTCCTCCGGTTGCTCTTTCTTTTCGCTCCTTTGTGATCAGAGACGATCCGGAGGTGAAGAGGAGGAAGTCACCTGAAGTGGTCTCTGATCTGCGCCCTCAGTCCAAGACCGCAACATCTAATCCATCCGTGCGTCCATCCGTGCGTCCATCCATCCTCGCTGAGTTGTTGGAGAGGAAGGCGCGCGGGTGGGTCCGGGCGCGCGTGGGCTGCTGCTGTTGCTGCTGCTGCGCTGGAGCTCTGTGGATCATGTGACGCCGAGGAAACTTGGACCAGGACCTGAAGCCCCCCCCCCCCCCCCCACACACCCACACACACACACACACACACAACTCGGTGTCCGGAGCGATTTTCACACACACACACATGCATATACGAGCGCACAAGCTTTGGGGAAGAAATCGAGCAAAATAAATAATTAAATAAATAGTCGATCTGTGCGCGCGAGTACTATGATCAAATACAGTCAAAAAATCCGAAAAAAATGTTGTTGTTGTTGGTGGTGATGTCATCACTCTCCCTGTTGACTTTTTTTTTTTTAATGTTTTTCTGCATCTATCAACCCTTCATGCTTTTTAATCAAAGCTTTAAGTTCATTCAGGTGAGTTTGGTTTCTGTAACTTGTTTTATTACTTACAGAATATTTAACTTATTTTGGTTAAATGGGTGGATGGATGGATGGATGGATGGATGGATGGATGGATGGATACTGTTATTGCCAAGCATACAGTCTAATATTTCTCAGGTTTGAAAGTTGCCCACCTGCTTCATCTATTGCTGATTCACACTCGTGCCTAAACAGTCACACACGTGTGTGTGCCATCAAAATACGCAGATTTTCAATGTTTTTGTTTTCTTTTTCATATCTGCATCATCTATGAGTTAAATAAAAAAGATTAAATACCTTAAGCCTACCACGTAATTTGTTATAAATTGTTGAAATCAGCAGAATTATTTTGTTGCCAACAATTACGAGTTGTTTGTTTACAGTCCAACAGCACTTTGGACAGTTTTGGCTTGAGATGAACTGAAGTGGATAAAACAATCCCTGGATGTAAACAAAGTCAGAGACAAAAGCTACGATTAGGGTTAGAAAAGAACAGTTCTTCTTTTCTCCTGAAGAGAAACAGCGACTAAAAAACGATGAGAGTTGACAGAAACAGTTTTTTTAGAGTGGAAAATAAACTGAGAGGTGGCAAGAGTTAAAGCAAAAGTTAGAGCTTTATATCAAATGCAAACAAGCTGAGCCAAAATATTCCAACTCTAAGAGAAAATGTTCTTATCTGAGCTCTCAATTTAGTTGTAAACAGAGAAACTGAACATTTGCTGTTCTCTAATGCAACTTTAATAAAAACCCAGATGAGTTAATCCCCAAACAATCATTTAATGAAGTAGGAATAGTATCAGGTCAGACATATTTGCTAATTTCCCCACTTTCACTTTTATTCTGTAAATAATAGATGATTGTGTGATGCTCGTTGAACCCTTTGGTTGCTAATCAATTATATGATCATTGAATATTAACAGATACACATAAATAGATATTTATGATTTTGTTCCATTTTAAGTCCATTAGGGCATTTTATTTTAAAAGAAAGTTTAACTTACTTAACAAGCTTAATCAAGTTCTTTTTGTCTTTTCTCCAGAATAAAGTCCATCACGCAGCAGAACCTGCAGAGGTTATTTCATGCTCCCTGTGTTTGTGTGCTTCCATTTATTTTCAGCTGTGAACAAAAGCCCAGGGAGTGCTGACAGATCAAGCCCTGCACCCCCACCCTCCTGACACCTGTCTTTCTCCCCCACCTGTCTCTGCTTCTCGTTCATACACAGTCGGAGTCCTGCCCTCGTTACTGCAGGCTTGGCCCCGAAACGTCTCCCAGGAGACTTTAGGTAATCTTGGCTCCACGGTCGCTCCCTGCTCAGCTGCTGTAGTACTGCCTTCTACTTTGTGTATTTACTTGTATTAACTGGAATACAGCCAAATACTGTATGAGCCAACATGATGGTTCGACGACCCGGCCTCCTTTGGTTGAAAAGCTTGTTTAAATGTCGCTCTCTTACTCTCAGGATCGATATGTTCTACAGATGGGAAATGTCTCATCCATATTTTAGCTTGACTTTTATTTGTATTTTTTTTTTGTAATAGATTAATGAAAATAAACACTTTGGTTTGGGTCCTACTTGAACTGGCCATTAATCTGTTGAGGATTAAACTGTATGTCTTCAAAACAGAGGAACAAAATAAAATAAAATACAATAATTTTTTATGGTTGTCTCGTCATAGAACCTGCTGCAAAAGTTCTGAACTACAACTTTTTGGTATTGTATTTTTTGACACATAAGTCGTTCCTGACTATAAGTCGCATCAGTCAAAAAAAGCATCGTGAAGAGGTGCTTCGACGTATAAGTCGCATTTATTATGTATTTATTTAATGGCCAAAATAGCTTCATTTTGCCTTGGTGGCGCAGCACCATCCATCCATCACAGCCGGAGCTGCGAGCTCTCCAGCGTTCCTCCGCCTGCACCAGCTGAGTGAAGCGAGCGTGCACGGGAGGACTCACTGCTGCAGTTCTTCGAAATTTAAAGCGTCAGTCAAAAATTGCGTTATGAATATGGAAAAAAAAATGTATATAAGTCGCAGGACTGACAAATCTAGGCAAAAGACTGCGACTTATACGCTGGAAAATACGATATTTAGGGGCGTTTCCCATTTCCATTTCTTTATTAAAACTGAACTGACTGTCTGAGGCTTGCAGCTTTCGTGCTCTCTTAAAACACTTTTACAGCAGAAAGTCATGTGTTCACAAAAAGCACTGAGAGAGAGAAAAAAATAAAAAGCCAGAAAGTGCAATACGTTGAGGGGAGATTTCTTTTTTATTTGTTCACACCGTACATATTGCAGCTAGTCCAAATCTCTATAAACGTTCCTCACAGACAATCGATACTTCTTCCTCAGCTAGAAATCTCTGCCCTCCATTACCCGGCCGAACCGAACACTTCCCCATCCCCCCATCCCATCATGCCCCATCCTCGACTCCACTCTGACTCCCACGCATTCATCATCCAGCCTTTTCCTTCGGCTTCTCTCATCTCTGTCTCATCTCGTGTCCGAGCATCCTACATAGTGGGGCATTTTAAAGTACGACATGGCACAGAGCAGGAATACATTTCATGCAGAGTGAGTCCTAGTCCCCTCCACACCTCCCCGCTCCTTAAAGGAATGCATATCGCCCGCTGCCTTTCATACCACAGTTTTAGACCAGTACAATCTAATGTGGAGAAATGACGGAGTTGAAGTCACTTTGATCAAACCTTGAAAACAACTTTATGGGCAGGCTTATATGATATTGTGAGATATACTCTACTTCTACCACATTAGATTTTGGCTCAGTATCTGTAAAATTAAATGAATTATATCAGGTTTTTTTATGTTTTCTAAGGTCAATTGCTTCCAAAAGTTAATCAGTTTTAGGACGTAGATCTGCCAATTATTTCCTGAAAGAGTAAATGAAATCTGATGTGTGGTTCATGAGATATCTTGCTAACAGACACAGTTGTTTTTTTAAATAAGTAACGGCAAAACGTTACACAAAGGTCTTGCACAGCATATCGCATCCATAGCTAACACATATTCTGTGATGGGGATAAATAAATGTATTATCTGGTTTGTGTTTTGGGTGTATATCATGAAAAGTAAGTCTCCAATCCTGAGATAAACTTTCTAATCTTTCTGTTTGAATACAGTTAAAACTGTTTGTGATGCATTTGCTTTCCCTCCGCTCTACTCTGCTGGTTGAAGTATTTTTGCTTCATCTGCTGATGTCCAGGAGGGAGAGACTCAGCATGCATGAGTATGTGTTACAGTGTTTTGCATGTAGCCACTGAATTATGCACATCCTTGATATTTAATCAAAATCTGCCTGAGAACAACATTTCAACATTTAGGCTCATGTGTGATTGAAAAAGGGCACAAACGGAGACATTTCTGGTCCTTTCTCATCTCTGTGCCAAGCTGCACGCCAAAGCAATCACTGTAATTAGAAATTGTGAGAAGGAAAAAAAAAGTACTGGTGCGTTCATAAACACTTCAAGAAAAGAGGAAACGGTTACATAACCTTGTACAAGCACGAGTCGACACACAGAGTTTGCAAGAGCACAGCTTTAGAAGGAAACAAGAGCATAACTAAAGGGATAGCACATGAGGAACCAAGCCGACTAACCGTAGGGTTTAGGAAGGTCTTAAGTACGGTGGCCCTGAGGTGTAGTTCAAATGTTGTCTTAACCCTCCTGCTGCCCTTGGGTCAAAATGACCCACTCCTCAGTTTTAGGACTGAGCTCTCAAAGGACATTTTGACCCAAAGGTAGCAGGAAAGTAAAACATATCAACTATGTGGACACAAACTGGAAGAATGTTCCAGAAGAGAGGAACTTGATAAAGTCAACACCTCACTGGGATGCAGCTGTTAGTTGGTGACTCCAAATTGCAAGAAAATGGCGTAAAATAAAATATAGTCTCACATTGAATATTCAGCCAGCAACTTGTGTGGCTGCATTTTAAATAGTCAGATTTGCAAAGCCTGACCTTTTTTTTATTTTCGTGTGCATGGCTTGCAAAACTCTACTGTCCACATTACCAACAAAGTCCATGCTCAATAATCCAGGTATACAATCCAACACTTTTCAGCCAGGTCATCTGGACAGTTTCTTTACTGTGCACATTATTGCATTGTCCACCTCCACTCACATCAATTCAGTTAGCTCCTATTCACAACAGAAGTCATCTCAGGGCACTGAATATAAACATCCACATACATACAAATCAGGTAATAACATTATTTATCTAAGGAGCCAGCAGATTGCTTCAAGTTTTTACTTGGTCACAGTCTCCCATTCTAAGCGAGCACAAAGGCAACAGTGAAAAGGAAAAACTCCCTCAGGAGGAAGAAACTTCCAGCAGAGTCAGGATCAGGACAAGTGACCATCTGCTTCCACTGGCTGGGTTTGAGAGGACAGGAAGGAGAAATGAACACAGAATGACAGGTCCAGGATGGAGACCATTTGGTTTTTCACTAAGAGGAAAGACAAAAAGACAGAAATCACTTGTTAAGTAAGAATAATTACAAAAATAAACTATTCAAATGTATGTATTTGTAACTATTAATTTGAGGAAATGAGGTCAGTTTGTCCTCCAGTAGTCTAAGGTTATAGCAGCATAGGAAAAGGAATAGGTCAGA